GATTTAAGCATAGATAGGGACGGACAGACAGCGACAGCGACTTTGTTTTATACTGTGTAGTGATTATATATATATATTTTCTTTCAAATAACTGCAACACAGTTTTTGTAAACTAATGTAGTTGTTTACGTTTAATATATTATTGTTATAACTTTGTTTTTGGTTTAAATAAATTCTTTAATTCTTTAATATATATTGTCAAATTGTACAAAAACTGTCCGCTGGTTGCCCGAACATACAAACATTTGTCTTCAAGAGTATAATTGTGTGTATCTGGGTATTTTTTACGTTATATTGTTTTATAGATTGTATTAACATATCACTATTTAAAAATATAACTTTACAACAATTATTAAAATAAAAGCAACACGCAAGTTTCTTGCTCGTACTTCTTGTGATGGGACAGCATTCCGATTAAGCGGTAGATTCAACAAATAAGTAATGACTTTAAAAAGTGCTTAGACACAAGTTTATTTCTATAAAAATATCTATTCTATATATATTACGTATGTAATCAGTTATCTAGTACCCATAACACAAGCTCTGCTTAGCTTGAGACTAGATGGCGTTGTATGAACAGTCCAGAAAAAAACTATCAATGTTTTTAATAGGTCGAGTCGTGGGATTGACGTCGAGATATCTCTAATCAAAGTCGCTAAGAAAAATTAACAAACAACTAACAAAGAGTGTACTGTTTATTTACATTCGATATCTATATATAATCACTATTTTTGTTTGTGACGTTTGCTCAAATTTAGAATAATAGCTTGTTTTTCTAGAACGGCAAACAAATTCATTATCCATAAATACACGATGGTAGGTGGTAACAGTCGCATATAGACAAGAACGAGCTGTTCTTGTCTTAACGTCTTCAAGTAAAGCGAGTGATGTTTTTTTATTGGGTTGTTAGGGTTATTGTCAGGGTAGCACCTGTAGCAATGCGACCTACATAGATCTATTGTGCTCGCCCTTTTCCAAAGATCACTCTAGACCCGTCAGGGACAAGAATTGAAGGATATTCTTAGGAGCGATGATTTTTATCTCCTCGGGATAGAGTGTAAACTTTCCAAAGGAGATTTCGTTTATGCATGAGTGGGGTACAACCACATAGGATGTGTAGTGGCGTTAAACGTTAAACATTAAATGAAAATCCCGTGCATGAACAACTATTGCCATGCACGCTCGTCATTCAAGTAATCGTTTAGTGAGTAGTAACAGGTAACCCTTGCTCAGTAAATATGATTTAACAGATGTTTTGAATTTATTTAAGGGTAATTCCAATATATCCTTTGGTATCTTACTGTAAATTTTTATACCTATTGACTTTTTCTAAACGATACTTGGGGACAGCAAGTTTGTCTTTAAATCTAGTATTAATATAATGAATATTGTCGTGTTTTTTATCCTGTAAATTCATTATCTAATCTGCACTCTACAACTGACACAGCTTACAAACAAGCTGCTTGGAGGCTGAACTATGCAAGAACTCCTGTGAAACTTTTAATCTGTGTAATTGGACCTTTATGTTATACTATATGTTTCCATTTATATTATACTAGCTTTTGCCCGCGGCTTCGCTCGCGTTAATTTACCCCCTTAGGGGTGGAATTTATCAAAATCCTTTACGTCATAATAGTCACCTTTGAGTTATATATATTTAGATTGCATTAAAACATGTAGGTATTAGGGCTAGCGATTTATTAGCGACTAGCTAGAAAAAGACTCACCACTGACGTTTATGTTATATAATGTTATAAAATCCTTCCCCTTACCTGTAACAGAAAATAAATCACTTTATTTTTCATACATTTCATGTTTTATCTAATACTAGTTGTAGACGCATCTTCGTCTGCGTGGAATTTAACTTTATTTTTCTAAAATAAAAGTAGCATAAGTTACTCCTTATTACATCAGTTAACTGCCAATAAAAGTCCCATCAAAATCGGTCCAGCCATTTCAGAGATCAGCCGGAACAAACTGGCAGACAGACAAAATTGTAAAACATGTTATTCTGGTGTATGTACCGTATTTATATTCATAGGCATGTAGTAAGAAATGGTTATTTCAATATTACAAACAGACACTCCAATTTTATTTATATGTATAAATACGTTAGTTGGAGACTAGCGGATGATGATGATGGGATGATAATGAAGACCTCAGATAGCTTATCATAAATTCGTGTAACGACAGCCTCGGTGATTTAGTGGTTTAACACCGCTATACTTTCGATGGTCGCGGGTCCGATTCCTAGCACAGTACAAACATATGTATTCATGATTATTTGTATCGGTATGAATGTTATCTAAGTATATCATTGTCATTACGTCAATGCCTTAAAGAATCAAATATCCTCACCGTTGCCTCACAGTACATTTATGAAAATATTATGTATACAAGGAAAAACTTAGATAGTTTCAAGAAACTTAAAGTCTGTACAAGTAGAAACTTACGTAATAAAAATAAGCTAATTTTACCTAAATGCCGTCTACACAAAGTTAGTAATTCATTTTAAGTTAGTATTTCTATATTATGTATACATATTTTTTTATTTAAATAACTTTAATGCGCGTCATACATAAGTAAAAAGTAAAAAGTACATATGGCGGACATAACACCTAATGGCATTTTCTACCAGGCAACCATGAGTTGAACAGAGATAAGTTGTTGGTGGCGAGTACATGTGTATTTACATACGAGCGCAGTGGTGGCTGGCTCATCCGTCATACTCGTGAACGGGTGCTGCTTGTGTGGACTGGTCTGCTCTAATCACTATGACTTATTTTCTCTTATTAATTGTTTAACCAGTTGTTGTATATTGAACGTTTTTTCTATTTTATTATTTTATTGAATTAGTGCTAATCGGTGGTTTGTATTCACACACTTAAACTTAAATTGTAAGTAAGAATAAATTATTTAAAAGAGCAACACACAAGTTTCTTGCTTGTTCTTCTTGTGATGAGACAGCATTCCGAATGAGCGGTAGATTAAAAAAAACTGTTATGACTATTCAAAAGTGCTTCAATGTAAGTTTATTTGAATAAATGATTTTCTATTCTATTCTATTCTATTCTATACATGCCTAGTACCCATAACACAAGTTCTGCTAGTTTGGGACTAGGTGGCGTTGTGTGAATTGTCCAGTGATATTATTATATTATATTACAATTATATGAGTAGTGTTTGTTTACTTTTCTTTTCTTTTTTGGACAATCCAAACAGCGCCATCTAGACCCAAGTTAAGCTAGCTAAAGCTTGTGTTATGGGTACTAGATAACTGATACAAATACATAGATATTATTTTTATAAATACATACATATTATACATAGAAAACACCCAGACCGATACAAACAGTCATACTCATGAATAAAAATGTTTGTGCCGTGCGAGAAATCGAACCCGCGACCATCGGTCGTAAGCGGTGTGCTAGACCGCTAGACCACCGAGGTCGTCGTCGAGGTCGTCGGTGTGCTCTCATGCCAGCAATGTGCGAGGATTTTTACACACAAAATAGGCTACATAAGTGACATGCGAGCACATCAACGACAACTGCCAAAGAGTGGAACGCACTTCCAGCTTTTGTGTTCCCGGAGAAATACAACCCCGGATTCTTCAAGTCTATGGTGAATAAAAAAGAATAGAAAGAACTATGGTGAAGAAAAGATATCTTAGGTCTCTCTCACTGATCTCATCCTAGGTCTTGCGATCAGTTACCATCAGATGAGGTAAGACCAAGCGCAATCCCATTATTAATAAAAAAAAATCGGAATTGAAGATAGTCGCCGTGGCCGAAATCGGCCGTGATAACATCATCATCATCATCATCATCATTATTATCAAATTGTCTCCAAAAATTCCCGAACCGAACGCGTCAATTCCGACCTAATACGGATTATGTGCCTATATCACTCAATGGGAATATATTGAACCTTGTTTCAAATTTTAAATATCTTGGACATATTGTTACATCCGTGGCGACCACGGACCGGAAGACGCAGCGTGGGAAGGCCTCCAGCAAGGTGGACCGACGATCTGGTCAAGATCGCTGGAAGGCATTGGATGCGAGCAGCGCAGGACCGATCGTCGTGGAGATCTTTGGTCCCCCTATGTCCAGCAGTGGACGTCTTCCGGGCTGCGATGATGATGATGATGATTGTTACATCCACATTAAAAGATATGGACATAGAACGTGAAAGAAGAGCATTGGCAGTTAGAAGTAATATGTTGGCACGCAGGTTTGCCCGGTGTACAAAACAAGTCAAAATAACACTTTTTAAGGCATTTTGTCAGGTTTTCTACACTGGCGGCTTATGGGTCAACTATACTCAAAAACCTACAATGCTCTTCGCGTTCAATATAACAATGCCTTTCGGGCACTGTTGGGGCTGCCCCGCCACTGCAGCGCGTCACATATGTTTGCGCAAGAGCGCACAGACGATTTCTATGCTATACGGCGGAAGCGCATAACGTCCCTATTAGGCAGAGTGCGGGCGAGTTCCAACAGTGTCCTGAAGACAATTGCTTGTAAAGTAGACTGTCCCATTCTAAGACACTGGGTGGGACAGGTAATATGTTAAAAGTTACATTTTTATTTTATTATATATTTTATTACTAACATAGGATAAGTTATGTCATTAAGCTGTTACTAACACAATGGATCATGTTGTCTGAAATAAAAATCATTATTATTATTATTAATACTATACACTAACAACTGGGTCACCAGCCCCTATGGTCCCCCCTTTGGTTATTACACCGGTATCCTATACAACGATGACTCAGGATACCAAAATGTGGACGCACACGTGACACTTCCTTGTCGCGAGTCTGGGGCTTTTGTTATGGCATTGTGTCAACCCATGACTGGTATATAACCACCCCTGCACCGTGGGGTCGTGATACGGGCACTGTCTCACATCGCAACAGTCCGCAGCTCCGTATCAGTTAGTATATAAGATGGATCCGATCATATAACGAGCAGTCGTGTCGTGCACGCAGCTATAGTGACATGTGTCTGGTTGTATTATTGACAGTGCTTGCTTACGGTAAGGAAACTAATTTGTGTATCAATAAACTGTATCATTCAGTCCTATAATATAACATATTAATAAAAAAGGAAAACATTCTAAAAAGATTTATGGAATGTAATGCGGAAGTAATGTTGCAAATTTTGGGGTACACACGAAAAATCAATATATATTTTTTTAATCATTTTTTTTTTGCGGAACTGTATTTTTTAAAATAATAATGAAATAAGAACCCGGGAATAGTATCAAATAAGTTTGGACAAACCAAACGTGATGATATTTTTACAACTTTAGTTGGAAATCTCGTATTAATAGTGTATGAAACTTAGGAATATTTTAGGGAAATTTTGTCAATTAAAGAAAGTGTTGAACAAGCGTATGTTATACATTTTATACTACGCAATACCTGATTCACTGATTAGTTATGGTCTGAGTGTATATGGATGTACTTTTACTACATATCTAAATGAAATAAAAAAAATACAAACTATACTACTGAAATATTTAATAAATAAGAAAACTAAAACTGTTTTAACGGTGACTATGAAAATTTATTCAAATATTGTAATGATTTTTATAAAATATTAATTAAAAAAAATCATTTTAAAAACTAATAATTTGTGCATTATTTTTTAAATAAAAAAAAACAATCAAAATTAAAATATCTGTATTCATGTAGATCTATTACAGACTCATGATATGCCAAATTTACCGTGAGTTCGGAATAATGTCGAGATGAGAAGAACTGACAAGACACTCAGATCGTATTCTTTTCAAATAAATGTTGTACTTGTTTACTGTGTAATAATACACAGTTATTAAAAATGTATTATTAAGTCATTAATAAATATTCATTAAATAAAAACACGAAAATAGTATCAAACAAAAAGAAATATTCCTGTACACATAAAATATATGTACTATTAAATTTTGTTGAATAAAACAAAAAAGTTTTGTTTATAATAAACATTTAGTGTGCCAATCCATAAATATTTATTAAAAAACAAGCATTTTAATAATTTAACAAGAAATAATAATAATAATAATAATCTCAGGACAATTCACACAGAGCCATCTAGACCCAAGTTAAGCTAGCTAGAGCTTGTGTTATGGGTACTAGATAACTGATACATATACATAGATATATATTTTTTTTGCAAATACATCCATATTATACATAGAAAACACCCAGACCGATACAAACAATCATATTCATAAATACAAATGTTTGTGCCGTGCGAGGAATCGAACCCGCGACCATCGGTCGCAAAGCGGTGTGCTTAACCGCTAGACCACCGAGGTCATCGAAGAAAAAAAAGAAAGAAAATAAGAAAGTCACCAAATAAAAAATACAAATAAATTCAGGATGACACACGAAAATATGACTAATTATGAATCTCCTTTTGAGAAACGTATAATGTTTTTTTAGTACCTAAAAATTAGCAACTTGCAAACAGCTTAGAACAAGTTGTAGATGTAATAAAGGTGTAGAGACAAAAAAATACGAGTTCTGTACACGTGTATTTTATACATATATGGTAATTTATAAAGATTTAGATAAGAGCTCACGCACTTTGATAAAAAATGTGCAAAAATAATTTATTCTTATCCACACAAAAGTCAGCGCAAAATAATCGCTAATGTCAATGAAATAAATCTAGCTTAAAAATTCGCGTATAGAGAAATAATATTGCCTACAGCGGAAGAATGTTTTAAACGTATGAAATTTTATTTACAACTAGCTGTTCCCGCGACTTCGTCCGCGTGGAACTTAACTTTATTTTTTAAAATAAAAGTAGCCTAAGTTATTACATCAGCTACCTGCCAAAAAAGGTCCCGTTAAAATCGGTGCAGCCATTTTAGAGATTAGTCGGAACACGACAGACAGACAAAAATTGTAAAAAATATGATTTTGACGTATGTCCGGTATTTATATTCATATGCATGTAGTAAAAACCTGTTATTTCAATATTACAAACCGACACTCCAATTTTATTTATATGTATAGATGCATGCACTCATTAATACAGATTTGTGTACTGTGCGAGGAATCGAACCCGCGACTATCGGAACTAAAGCGGTGTTCTAGCCACCGGGAACGTCAAACAAATTCTTTGATTGTTTAAATCGTGAACTTTCGCGTTTATAATATTAGTCTAAAGTGTAAGATTTCGTGGCCTATTAACAACAACATATCCCCTCCGATCGATCCCTCATCCAATTCAAGCCGAGGTTAGAACCCCTAGTGGTGCCCTCAGACTAAAGTCGTATCCGTCAGGCGGGAGTTGGTCTTCAGCCGCTCCATAAGTCCTACCTTTGGCTTGTAGTGCCATCTGCACTCGCCCCCTATCGTCCGGTGAAGCTGTAAAGGCCAGCTGCGGCCAACAACATTAGCGTAGTCCGGAAAAAAACTTCAGAAACCGGCAGTAAGCAGCCTCGACCTTACCTATCTCGATGTTGTTTGGGTCAGTACAAATCTCGACTTGTTTATATTTAGAACACGCGCGTGCATCTAATGAGATGATATGCCCAATGATCATATTTATATGCACGCGTGCATGTCTATATTAATAATTCGTCAAGGAGTACGGTAGACTCGAACGAAACCTTATGTGAATAACAGAACATAAAAAAATATTGATTTCAAGTCGACAACATATATCCGCAAAATTCGGATTATGGAGTATTTCGTTAAATTCTAATGACACTGACAAACAAACCGCAGTCGCCATCTTTTCATTTCACTAGCATTTTCTTCGGTCGTTGACGTTTCGCGAAAATATTGTTTTTGACACTTTTTTATGATAAAAGAGTATACAGTTGTGTTTTTCTTTAAATCAAAATTTCTTTAAATGGCCAATTGCGAGATATTGACAATATTTTTTTTATTAATTTGTTTCACGGTTCTGATGGCTGAAGCGATTTGGCTAATTTTAGTCTTGAAATATTCGTGAAAGTCCAGTGAAGGTTAAAACTGTTTTATTATGGGGTTAAAAATTTTATTATGGGGCAAAGAAGCTGATATAAATACAGTATTTATACTGCAAAAGAGGATCATCCGCTCCATTTACGTTATGGGTTCCAGGGAGTCTTTGCGTGAATGTTTTAAAGAATCAAATATCCTCACCGTTGCTTCTCAATACATCTACGAAAATATTATGCCAGAAAAATATTAACAATTTAAAAAAAGTAGGTGATTACACTAATAAAAGCTTACGTAATGTCAACAAACTAGTTTTACCTAAGTGCCGTTTGACGAAAGTTAGTAATTCGTTTTATGGAAATTGCGTAAGGTTTTACAACAAACTCCCTTTGTCAGAAATTAAACTACTCAATTTGTCAGAAATTAAAATTCAAATGTGTCATAAAATATTTTCTTTGTAAAAAAGCTTATTATAAAATTGAAGAATTTATAAATGATAATAATGTTTTTGTAGAAAATATCTAATTTAAAATTCATAGCGCTGACAATGTTATCTGATTGAACAGAGATTAAGTGCGTAGCGGTTTCTATGTTGGTTGTCGCATGCCTAATCCTTGTTGTTAATTAAATATAAGTAAATCAATATTTATTTAAAAGAGCAACATACAAGTTTCGTTTTTATTCTTCTTGTGATGAATCTGCATTCCGAATAAGCGGTAGAATAAAAAAACCTGACTATTCATAAGTGCTTATATTAAGTTTATTTGAATAAAGATTATTTCTATTTCTATTTCTACTTTGATAAAATTTTCAGCGTTCAGAAATTTACTGTGTAACTAAACTTCAATAACCCTTTGATATATTAAATGTGAGACGGAATGAATGTAGCGGGGTCGCTAGTTTTATGCATACAAATTACGTGACACTACTTGTTTATAAATTAATTAATGTACAGGATTCTTCACATTAATTATATTATATTAATTTGTACAGTACAGTATCACAGTGATACGAGCTAGACGGCGGCACATCTTGCCGATAACTAATTTTTTATCAATGGAATACGTGACTATAATTGTTAGAGTCTAGCCACAGATCAATACATTTATGACTAGTCATTTGGAAGACCTTTTGCGCTGACGTAACAATACAAAAGCCATTTTCTTGGCCTTTATAGAACATACTAGCTGATCTGGCAAACGTTGTTTTGCCGTAAAAATTAATATCGCTATTAAAAAATAGGGTGATAGAAGGGTGAAAAATTAGAGTTGTATGTATTTTTGATGCCACATAATAAAATTTTAATAGAATAGAAAATCATTTATTCAAATAAACTTAATTTAAGCACTTTTGAATAGTCATAACAATTTGTTTTTTATCTACCACTCGTTCGGAAAGCTGTCTCATCACAAGAAGAACGAGCAAGAAACTTCTGTGTTGTGTTGCTCTTTTAAATAATCCTTGTAAGTTTACATTTACAAGTCGAAACGTGTGAATACAAACTACCAACCATCACTAATTTTTTGGGTCAAATATAAATATACAATAAGATTAAATCAGTCGTAGTGATAAGAGCAGATTATATAAATAATTACACAATAAGAAGTAAGAGGCTTGCGATAATCAACAGAAACCGCTACGCACTCATTCTTAGAGCAATCAGATAATATTGTCAGCGTTATGAATTTTATTCTCGAGTAACAATAGCTCAAGCTTGTATCACTATATTGACGAAGCATTGCAATGCCAAGTTTCATATTAAGTCTGGACTTATATGACCTAAATGAGTCACTTAGGAATTCAACTTGACCATCATATACTTTAAATAAAAGTATACGAACCCGCTTAATGTTGTGTGATTCCTCGCACTGAGCTATGAGCCATTTTGCATTGCTGTGGCTCTGCTATTTTATGCTTTCTTTGCCTTTTTACTATTATAATAAAAAATATACCCTTAATATTTTTTGTTTATTCACTTCTACGAGGCATGACCTTTGATTAATAACTCATGAGTTATCACAGGCGTTACATGATAACGTGATGGCTATTCGTATATATATACGTGGACAGTTCGTGTTATATATTTTCTTTAAGACATTGTCCTTGCTTCTCCACATAACATGCCCAAGAATACTACTGAGTTTTTTTTTAAATTTGTAATCCCAAATCATTTGATGAGCAAATTATTTACTCTTCTGCTCTTATAAGCATGAATTGCGTTTACCATATGTACTACCAATATTGATGTTGATGATCATCATCTGATTCTTCCCTATCCCATTTATTTGTGGTCGACGTAATATGTTTTTCTCTTCCATTCATCTCTGTTCGCAGTCATCTCGTTATTTACTTCCTTTCTTACCATATCATCTTTCACACAGTCCATCCATCTCTTTTTCGGTCTTCCTTTGCTTTTATAACCATCCACATTCATATGTAACGCCTTCCTTAGGATATGATCTTCATTTCTACGCATTACATGTCCATACCACGATAGACGATTACTCTTCAACCTCTCCAACACCGGCGCTTTCATACTTTCTCAATATTGATGTTGATTTTGATAGATAATTAAAAGAAAAAGTAATATAACAAAATATGACGATATTATAAGTGCATTTTGTTACTACAAATATTTTGCTGCCCCTCAAAATACTTAGTTATTTTATTGGTCCTAGACCCTATCTAGTCCGGACAGTCCGGATTTACAAAATAATAATTCAAAGGTTAAATATTTGTGTCAATTCTCGCAATGTCTGTTACAGCAAGTTCAACTCTTGGAGTACCTGAGTTGTTGGGAAGATGTTCTGTGCGCGCGTGCACAGAGGCAGGCTGGGTGTGTGGGGCCCGGCGGGTGACAAATGATGGACTCGAGTATGCCAGCTTCCGTGGGGTGCCCTATGCTAAGCAGCCTATAGGGGAACTTAGGTTTAAGGTATCTATATACTAATAATATACAGATTACTGCTTTGGTTGATCTCCCGACCAATACAAACGCGGAATTAGGACGGCCTGAGCCAAGGTTCGAACCCAGGTCAGGCAGGAGTTGGTCTTAAGCCGCTCCATAAGCTTCTGTAGGATTGGAGCGCTGCACTCGCCTACTATCGTTCAGTGAAGTTGTAAAGTTAAGCTTAAATGGAAAGAACGACCAAAAAAGATGGACGGATTGTGTGAAGATGATAAGGAGAGAAAGTTTTGATGTGACAGCTGATAAGAGTCATACGGAAGAAAACATATTGCGCCTACCCCAAATAATGGTAAAGACAGGGCAATAATGATATTCGTCCAATATTCCAGGAGCTGGAACCGTTGGAGCCATGGAGTTACTGGTACGACGCGACAGTTGAAGGCCCAATCTGTCCACAACGCGACGTGTTGTACGGACGGCTAATGCAACCGAGGGGCATGAGCGAATCCTGTATCCACGCGAACATTCATGTACCACTCGACGCCTTGCCGGTCTACCAGAAACAGATAACCAGTTTGGAGTCTCCGCATCAGGCTGGCATCGATTCTGACGAGAACGTCACAGAGAGTGGACTGCCTGTGGTGGTGTTCATCCATGGAGGAGGATTCGCGTTTGGGTCTGGTGATAGCGACCTGCATGGTCCTGAATACTTGGTCGGCAAGCGGGTTATTGTGATAAGCTTTAATTACAGGTACGTCTTTTCTATAATCTATATATATACTAGCTGTCCCGGCAAACGCCTTGCCATATAAATTAATAACGCTATAAAAAAATAGAGGTTGATGATAGAAGGATGAAAATTTAGGATTGTATGTAATTTTTTATGTTGTATCATAAAAAAATAGAAACTAAAAAATATGTCTAAAAAAGTAAAAAAAAAATTTAGGGGTGGACTACCCCTAACATTTAGGGGGATGAAAAATAGATGTTGGCCGATTCTCAGACCTACTCAATACGCTCACAAAATTTCATGAGAATCGGTCAAGCCGTTTCGGAGGAGTATGGGAACGAAAACTGTGACACGAGAATTTTATATATATATATCTCTGAAATGGCTGGACCGATTTTGACGGGACTTTTTTTGGCAGGTAACTAATGTAATGAGGAGTAAATTAGGCTACTTTAACTTTATTCTTCTAAAATAAAATTTTAGAAAAATAAAGTTAAATTTCACGCGGAAGAAGTCGAGTATTCTGCTAGTTATTAAATAAAAACAGTTAACAGTCAATAATAATAATATCTCAGGTCATTTACACAGCGTCATCTAATCCCAATATCATCTAAACCATTATGGCTTAGTAGTTTGCTACACAGACTTACGAGTATAGACTTTAAAGGTAACTATATAGAATCGGGCTAATAAGTAAGAGAAAAAGAAAGAAGAAGAAAGAAGAGAAATTAATAATACTATCACACAGCGCCATCTAGTCCCAAAGTAAACAGGGCTTATGTTATGGGTACTAGACAACTGATATAAATAAATACATACATAATAAATACCCCTTGACAATTCACACAACGCCATCTAGTCCCAAGCTAAGCAGGGCTTGTGTTATGGGTACTAGACAACTGATATAAATGTTTCTAATTTAAGTAGACCAGTACTGAAATCAAAATTAAAAAGAGCATTTTTAGATAAACTTTAAAAACAAAAATTGTAATTGTATGTAATTATCTGTAAAAACGTGTATTTATGTGGATACAAGTTTATGGGAAGAATAGTATTTAATAAAAACTGAGCGATATCTTGCCAACAAACTGTTCTACAGTTTGACGAGTTAATGTATAAAAACAACTGTACAACTATCTTTATTAAATAAATAAAAAAAATAGTTAGATATTTTTTTCGTAAATAAATTATTAATGAAATAATTTTAATATATTATACATGGAAAACACCTAGAGCAATACAAACAATTATACTCGTGGATACAAATATTTGACGTTGCGCGGAATCGTACCGGCGACGATCGGAAGTAAGACGGGGTGCTAAACCGCTGTACCACCAAGGCCGTCAATGCTCTAAAACCAATAATAAGCCCGTAATTACTACATTTTCGTAATTACCGTGTACGCAAGAAAAAAACGCTACAAAATGTAATTATTGAGTTTCTTATCAATTCTTATAAACTGTGGAAGCTAACCCAGGATACTTATACGATAGTACAGGCATTAAGTCCGCCATATGTACTTTTACCTTGATATTTTGTGCGTTGAAGTTATAAAAAAAAATTAAAAAAAAAGTTATTTAAAAAAATTACCTGAAAAATGGCATTTTTTTTATTGAGGGTTTTGGGCTATTATCAGGTTCTAAGACCTGTATCCCTGCGACATATATAGATCTATTGTGTCCACCCATTTTCAAAGCTACCTAGACCCGTCAGGGACAAGAATTGAAGGATATTCTTAGGGGCAATAGTTTTTATCTCCTCGGGATAGAGTGTAAACTTTCCAAAGGAGATATTTCGTTTATGCATGAGTGGGCTACAACCACATAGGATGTGTAGTGGCGTTGCCTCTTCCGCTTGGCAGAATCTGCAGACTTTTGTCGTGCCTAGTTATATTTTATTAGTGTGACTATACATTGGTATATAACACTAACTGACCCGTGAGGGACATGAATGATATTTTCCGATTCCGATATTTCCGCTTGGCAAAATCTGTAAATTATTGTTAAGTTGAGGCCTAATTTTGCCATGTGTTTATTCAATTTGCAGTGTCCAAGCATGAGTAAATAATTAAAAAATGGCGTAAATAAATAAATTACTTTAACAAACAGAAATCAACGATAGCATCCCATATTCATATCTTCATATTTTGATATTTTCTATCGATGTGAAAGATATAGTTTCCGCACAATGGGAGCATGTACATAAAATCCTTCCTTAGTAATATTATAAATGCGAAAGTAACTGTCTGTCTGTGGGGGGAAATGGGATTGTTAGTAATATGGACTAATAACCCCATTGCTAGCAATGTACCATGTCAGGTTGACCTCCACGCGGTTCCCCCTGGAAACCATCGTGATAAATTCCTGGTGAATTTGTCACGATGGGCCAACTGACCTGACCTCATGCTCATCTTATCATCCTTCACTGGTGCCCCGCCAGCGTAAACCGTTAGCGCAGGCGGGTGCACCATTCCATTATCATCCACAATAAAAAAAAAACTGTCTGTCTGTCTCGCGTTCACGTCACAACTACTGAATCCACTTAAATGAAATTTGGTACACACATAGTCTAGACCCTGAGAAAGGATATATGCTACTTTTGAATACGAAAAAAGGGTCGTAAGGGGTTTAAAAGGGGGATGAGAGATTGTATGGAAGAATTGTCATTTTTGAAGCTAAAACCATGAAACTTTTTTTTTGCTTTTATTGGCTTGGGTCATTAAATATTTTATCATTATTTATGCGGACGAAGTCGCGGGTACAGCTAGTTGTAATTAAAACAAACCGATGCGAGTTCATACGTGATATTGAGCAGTGTCTGATTTCTGAGACCGATACGAGATTTGATAAGACTAAACCTTATGACATTACAATAAGGTTCGGTTTTATCCAGTTCTTACGGGCCAAATATCGACTTTATTATTATATATACTCATATTGAGTACATACAGACGAAATGACCTTCGAAATGATAAGAGTTATTTAATTTCCTCGTTACTCGAGTCAAAGCAATTAATTCTTTAAGGAACTTCCAAATTCGCGAGATTTTTCTCGGCATGCTTCATTTAACCGCATTCCTTCCTTCTTGGGTTCGATTCCTCGCTACAAACATTTGTATTCATATGTATGAATTGATGATTGTTTGTGTCTGTATTGTAAAATTATTTATTAATTATCATTTATTTTGTATAAAACATACATACATCTAAAATAGATATTTATTCGATTAATATAATCGAATAAATATCTAATCGATTAATGTATTTGACATACATCTTTAGAAGTCAATGTCATTCAAATCTTCAGATGTCAAAGTAATTTTTTTTTAATAAAACTTTATTATCGAAACAAGAAAATAACAATATTGGTCATTGTCGGTTAAGATATAAAAAAGTTGATAAGAAAACTTCTTTTGTCTTGAAAAACTGTAAAAACTTCAATATATTTCATTGTTTCAAATAATTATTGGTTGTAATATATGTTAAACTGAAATTATACAATTATTTAAATAGCTGTTTTAGTATTTAAGAAATAAATCTAGGTATTTATATCAGATGCCTAGTACTCATAACACAAGTTCTGCTTATCTTGGGACTAGATGTCGTTGTATAAATTGTCCAGGGATGCTGTTATTATTATTGCCTTGAACATCTTAATCTTCATAATATTATAAACACTAAAGTTTATGAGTATGGATGTTTGTTACTCTTTCACGCAAAAACTCCTGAACGGATTTTGGTTAAAATAGAATAGAATAGAAAATCATTTATTCAAATAAACTTAATTTAAGCACTTTTGAATAGTCATAACAATTTGTTTTTTATCTACCACTCGTTCGGAAAGCTGTCTCATCACAAGAAGAACGAGCAAGAAACTTGTGTGTTGCTCTTTTAAATAATCCTTGTAAGTTTACATTTACAAGTCGAAACGTGTGAATACAAACTACCAACAAGCACTAATTTTTGGGTCAAATATAAATATGCAATAAGATTAAATCAGTCGTAGTGATAAGAGCAGAAAATGACAATTGTCGTCGGTGTTGCCAGTCGAAGAAAAAAGTACACTAATATAAAAATATAAAAAACTACACTAATATAGCTTCTATACATTGGCTACGAATTTCATGCGAGTGAAACCGCGGGTTTAGCTAGTAATATATATAGGATGTTTGTTACACTTTCACGCAAAAACTCCTGAACGGATTTTAGTCAAACTACACTAATATAGCACATACATTACAATAACACATAGACTACAAATTTCATGCGAGTAAAACCGCGGATTTAGCTAGTAATGTATATAAGTATCATTATTATTAGTGTAAACTACTTGATCTTGTTTATAAAACAACTTATGACTTACTTTATAACACTGTTTCGGTTCACCTGTCCTTTGATTTACACGTGCCGCCTAACGACCTTGGTTAAGACACGTCTGCACCGACGGTTATTGGTCTACCACAGTTTGACTTGTAGTTTTAACATATTGAAAATCTGGTTGAAATCTTCCTTTAAAATTAAAATTTCCTACCTCATCCTGAGTTTACTGAACTATTAAAAGAAATATTTTTTTTTAAGGAAGAGAAACAATTTTAATTATAACGAACTTATTATAATGATATTAAACCCCGATTTAACGATTTACCATCATAATTGTGATAGAGATTCAACAATTAACACAGCGCCATCTAGTCCCACGGTAAGCAGGCTTATGTTATGGGTACTAAACAACTGATATAAATACTTAGATATTTTTATGTAAGTACATACATAGACCGATACAAAGAATAATACTCATGAGTACAAATGTAAGCACATACATAATACATACATAATAAAACACCCAGACCGATACAAACAATCATACTCATGAGTACAAATGTTTGCATCGTGCGAGGAATCGAACCTGCCACCATCGGAAGTAATGCACACCGCTAAACCACTGGCCCACCGAGGCCGTCAATAAAAATAGACAAGAAACTTAGGAAAATCTCGTTGGTTAAGATTGCCATGACTCCGACAGTTGACAAGGTCCAAAAATTGACTTAACCAATATTAAACATATCGTCGGTAAAATAGAAAAATGGCACTATTCAAAAAATGTACATTTTCTACAAGATTTATAGCTTTTTAAATTTATTTAAATAATTTTTTATGCTTCAAGGCAAGCATTGAAAGCTATTTAAATTACATATGAATGTGGATGGTTATAAGGGCATGGTAAGAAAGGAAGTAAATAACGCGATGACTGCGAACAGGGATGAATGGAAGCGAAAAACATATTACGCCAACCCCAAATAAATGGGAAAAGGAAGAAGCAGATGATGATAAGACGGCGTGGTGAATTTAATTGACTTATATAAAACGAGGCAATTCTAGCATCTAATTTTTGAAAAATGTCATTATACTATTTAATCAACGATACCATCTTTGTCGGAAACTCCAACAGAAATTGCTATTAAAACATCCTCAATTATTTACTTCATAATATTTCAATATAGAACGCTGTGTACTAATGATTACGATTATCATTTGGTTTTCTGTTCTTCAATTCATTTAAAAGAGCAACACACAGGTTTCTTGCTAATTCTTCTTGTGATGAATCTGCATTTCGAATAAGCGGTAGAATAAAAAAACTTGACTATTCAAAAGTTCTTATATTAAGTTTATTTGTATAAAGATTATTTCTATTTGTATTTCTATTTCAATATTTTGTTACACGACTAATTATATCGTCATTTTAATAAATATTAATTACGATTTAATTTACAATTTAGTGTTTTATAATTATTTAACGAATACATCCACGCTCCTCGTTGAGATTTAAACAAAAATTTGGTCCATTTCTTTTTACAGATTGAATGTATTCGGTTTCTTATCCCTGAACACTACCAGCATCCCTGGCAACAATGGCCTCCGAGACATGATAACCCTGCTGCGGTGGGTGAAGACGAACGTGAAATCTTTCGGTGGGAACCCCAACAACGTGACATTGGCGGGACAGAGCGCGGGAGCCGCTAGCGCTCATCTACTTTCAATGTCCGATGCGGCAAAAGGATTGTTCAATAGGTGATATTTCATTTTTCGTTACTTAACTTGATCATTTATATTGTACTAGCTTTTATCCGCGACTTCGCTCGCGTTTATTATCCCCTTAGGGGTGGAATTCATCAAAATCTTTTCTTAGGGGATGCCTACGTCATAGTACCTTTATGCATGCAAAGTCTCAGCCCGATCAGTTTAAAATTAACAAACTTTCATCTTCTATTTTATCCCCTTGGAGGTGGAAATAATCAAAATCCTTTCTTAGCGGTTGCCTACGTCATAACATCTACCTGCATGCCAAATTTCAGACCGATCCGTCCAGTGGTTTGCGCTGTGCGTTGATAGATCACTATATCAGTCAGTCACCTTTTAGTTATATATATTTAGATACACTTAGATTCTGGAATGAACTACCTGCTGAGGTTTCCTCACGAGACTACAGCATGGGGTTTCTTAAGAAGGATATATTAAGGTTTTTTAAGGTTCGGCAACGCGCATATAATCACTCTGGTGATTCAGGCGTACATAGGCGACGGTAAACATTTACCATCAGATGGGTCGTATGCTTGTTTGCCAACGTAGTAGTATAAAAAATATATATGAAGCTGACTGTACAACTTAAGTACATATATATAAAAATCATACCTTTATTACATAATGGACATTTTGTCGTAAAGTATCAATGCAATACTCTTTTTATAATAATTTATTAAATATAAATTGACGATGTGTTAATTCACTATTGTTTTACAATCAATATTTCTTATTTATATTTGGATACTAGCTGCTAGCTAGCGACTTTATTTAATTGAATTTAACAAAAAATTTAATTAGAGATTTTTTCTAAAATAAAGGTAGTCTAAGTTACTCCTTATTACAGTAGCTACCTGCCAATAAAAGTCCTGTCAAAATCGGTCCAGCCATTTCAGAAATTAGCCGGAACAAACAGATAGATAGACAAAAACTGCAAAAAATGATATTTTGGTGTATGTGCCGTATTTATATTCATTTCAATATTACAAATTGACACTCCAACTTTATTTATATGTATAGATTAATGTTTTAAATTTCTCTTTTAAAAAACATATATGGTAATAGATATGCAAGAGCGGGATGTATCTAACACTGGCATTCACAAACCAACACTGTATTATTATAAGCCAATTGTTTTTTAAGGAAATAAATAATTTTTCAAAGACAATGCTAAATGACTAAATAAATTCTTTCAGGGTATGGTTAATGAGTGGCGTGGGTTCAACAAACTTCTTCACAACTTCTCCAGCGTATGCTCAGTTCGTGGCCAATATTCTGCTGGGAGTTTTGGGTATCAACTCTACAGACCCCGAGGACGTACATCAGCAACTAATCAACACTCCAATTGATAAAATCGTTGAAGCAAATGCTTATATACTTGACTTAATTGGCGCGACTACATTCGTACCAGTTGTTGAATCACCCCTACCAGGGGTGACCGCAATTCTAACTGACGACCCAGAGATCCTTGTAACTAAAGGTCATGGAAAAGATTATCCCATAGTTATAGGATTCACTGATGTCGAATGTGAAACATTTAGACCTAGATTTGAACAGGTAGACATTATATCCCAGATAAAAGTTACACCAACTTTGGTGGTTCCTCTACAATTGATTTACACAATGCCTCCGAATGTTGTACAAAGTGTATCAGATGCGATCCATGACCGATATTTCAACGGTACTGTAGATATGGACGGTTTCGTGAGATTATGTTCTGACAGTAATTTCATATACCCTGCAATCAAGTTAGCCACAACCAGAGCCGCTTTGGATGGAGCTCCCGTGTTTCTCTACCAGTTTTCGTATAACAACGACTACAGTGTCATAAAACAAGGCCTTGATATAAGTTTTAAAGGTGCAGGGCACATAGAAGATTTGACTTACATTTTCCGTTCTAATTCAATTTTAGGCAGAGATAGCATATTTTCCAAAGATTACCAAGAGCCTATGAAGGATTGGATGACAATGTTCTTTACGAACTTCGTATATTCGAGGTAATTATAAAATTATTATGCATAGGGTCATTATTTAAATATTTAAAAAGCCTGTTTGAAATACAACCTAGAGTGCTTTTAATTTTAAGTACATATTCGAGCTTAATATAATGTTACTTCTAAATATTATGTAATTTAATAAGAATTATACAATTTGTACAATTTTTCGTTTGCATTCCAGTATTAGATCACCTCTACAGAACCATAGATAACATTTTGTCTTTCTGTATTTCCAGTCAGCCATCAAATAGCGGATATGGTGATGACACGTGGCCAACATTGAACAATGGCGAACTGCGGTATCAAAACATAGTTACACCTGGTATTTATAACTACAAAAATGCTACAGAAAAACAGCTAGCTATGAAGAGGTTCTTCGATTCTCTAGTGAAGAATAACAAGAGAACGTGAAAGAGACAATGACTACAATATGGATTCAAATTGAAAAGTTTGATTCGGTAGAACATTACACTGTTATAATTTATAGGATCATATGTATATATTTAATAATAGTATAATAGATACTAAAATGATCTCACTATATAATGATTAAGTTATGTACAATTATCTATTAATTTTATTTGAGCGTCTTACACAAGCTTAAAGCCTTTAAATTGATCCAAACGCAATCTATGATCCTATACATTTAATAGTGAAATATACTCCAAAGTGTGTTGTGATAGATCATTTACAATAAGTGAAACTAAGGTATCTAGAAAGCTGATTTAAAAGGGATAGAATCGTAATCAGGTCTGAAAAAAATACCAAGTGATATTTTAATTTGTCGATACAGAATTGTTAATAAATTTCATATAAACATTCGACAATGCTATAAATGTAAATATTATGCCATGCAGAGAAATAGAAACTGTATTATAATACAATGAAGATATTGAATATGACTGTGGATGGACATAAAGGGAAGGGACAACATAAGAAAAGATGGATAGTGTGTGAAAGATTAGCACAAAGGGAAGCACGCTTAGATATGACGGACTCAGCATCAGCGGAAGACCACAATACGCCGATCCCAAATAATGGGACAAAGTTAAAGCAAAGATGATAAATGGTAATATAAGAAAACTAAAATCGAAACTACACGGTTCCAATTCAATTAAAAGTTACTCTACAGACAATCTATAGACTGATGATGTACTGCAATTTCAGAATAATTTCAGAATGAAATTGCAAAACCATTTGAAACTGTTATAATTTCGTTTAAGCAATTGTATTACTAAGTTTAGTGCTAAAATTAGATTAGTTATAGGGTGAAGGTGTCAATTAACTAATGGACGTCGCTGTAAGCTTATGGAAACCATCATTAAGTACAACAAAAGTGGTGTGGGTCAGTGTATAAATATATTTGGGATCATTGATTAAATTTGTCCATCACAATCTGGGCACTGTTACTGACAATTACTGTCAAGTGTGTTGTCAAAACTAATATAAAGTGGTAACGGTACGGTAACCGTTTACCATCAGATGAGTAGTATCTTTGCCAGCGTAGAATAGAAAATCATTTATTCAAAGAAACTTAATTTAAGCACTTTTGAATAGTCAACAATTTTTTTTTAAATCTACCGCTCATTCGGAAATCTGTAACATCACAAGAACAATAAGCAAAAATCTTGTGTTTTGCTCTTTTAAACAATCCTTGTAAGTTCACATTTTATAAATCGAAACATGTGAATACAAACTACTAGCCAGCACTAATTTATTTAAGCTAAATTTAAAAACACAATAAGATTAAATCAATCGTAGTGATAAGAGCAGACCAGTCCCTACAAGCAGCTCGTTCACGAGTATGACGGATAAGCCAGCCATCACTGCGCTCGACCACATTTTTATCCGAAATAGCGTCGTAGTATAATAAAAGTAAAGATTTTGTAATGTTATACTTTGAAATACTATAACAATTTTATTACATATGCTTGTTGCCAAAGTCATAGTATAAAAAAACACCTAAAAGTTTTTGTAATGTATTTACGTTAATCAAATATGAAGAAGTTTAAAAGTAGACTAGGCTGTACGGTCTAAGGATCTTTGCCTGTTCCATCACTGAAAAGGAGATGGACGAATATGGGAAAAAAAAAGTATTTACGTTAAAATGCTATAGCCATTTCATTAATTGATTAATTTATTACAGAGATACATTATAAGAGGTTATTTTTTTTTAAATAAAAGAAATCCTTACAATAATTGTACTCAGATGAAGCTGGGACAGGTCGCCAATTAAGTTATAAGAACATTTAAGAGTTTAAGGTGATAGAGAAGATGATGTGATTTGAGCATATTATTACTCTTCAATTTGTTAAATTATGACTTCTTGCTGAAATGAAGCGTGAAGATACACCTACAATAACATTCTATAATGTTTACAATCATACAATATGTGACAGAAACAGTGCTTAAAAGATAATAACTCTTGAATCTATAGACAATTTTTATTTTAATTCTTGTAAAAATACTTTTCTCAATTCTAAAATATAACCATCGATTTTAGGAGGAGTTGATAAATTACGTGAGGCGTT